ACTGGCAGTTGGACATCCCCCAAGGCGTCCTGGATTGGAGCGGTGAGCAGGCTGGGCTGAGGGGACCCCCCCCCCCCCCCCCCGCCTGCACAAATTTCATGCACTGGGCCTCTAGTATTCTATATTCTGAAGTTGGTAACATGGCTGTGTATATATGAAAAGCTTAAGATGGGTGTGTTTTATGCACTTTATTTTATGTGTACTATGCTTTAATAAAAACAAAAATACTTAAAATAAAACCAAGCCTGTTGTTTTGTGGGAACTAGAAAGTGTATAAGTACAAAACATAGAAGATACTCACATAAGAGCAAAATAAGGGCACTTGCTCTACTAGCAAAAAGATAAAGTAATTAAGATGGGGTGGTATTGGAATAATAATAGACAGGCCAATGGAACATAGTATAGTCTATAAACAGACCCATTCATGTGTGACATTTAGTTTATGAAGAAGATGAAACTGAAGAGCTGCAGAGAAAGGAAGAAGTGCAGGTCAATTGGACTCACAGGAAAAATAAAACTTAAACCCCTACTTTATATTATATATAAAAATAAATTCTAGGCACATCCTAACTTGAAATGTGAAAAATAAAACAGTAAAACTTTTAGGAGATAACTTAGAAGACTATCTTCATGACTTGAGGTTGAGATAAGATTTTTTTTTAAATGGGACAAAAGATATAATGATCATAAAAGAAGTAATTGTTAAGTTAGAGTAATTACACTTAAGAACTTCGTTTATTACTCTAGTAAGTAGAAAAGCAAGCCATAACAAGAGGAAAAGTATCTGCAACATATATAACTGCCAAAAGCCTCAGAGGCAGCATGTGTAACAAATTCCTTCAAACAAATTAAAAATAAAAAGACAATCTAACAGAAAAAAAGAGGCAAGAAACTTGATCAGATCACAACACAAATGGATAATAAAATTACAAAAAAGTTCTAAATGTCATTAATCATCAGAAAAATGAAAATTACAATGAGATACCACTACATACCCTCTAAAATGGTTAAAATCATGAAGCTTGAAAATACCAAGTGTTGGCAAGAATGTGGAAGACAAACACTCATTATAGCTGATGAGAAGGTATGTTGTTACTACTACTTTGGCAAACAGGTTTGGCATTATTAAGGTGAAATTATGTCTCTCCTATGATCCAGCAATAAGACTTCTGGTATGTATCTGGCAGAAACTTGTGCACTTATGCAAGAGACACAATGAGCATTTCAAAACAGCACTATTGTTATTAGCTCCAAACCAGAAACAATCTAAAGTCATCCAAAATGGAATGAATAAATAAACTGTGGCATAGTCATACTTCACAGCAGTACACTACACTACAACTAGAAGCAACACCATAGATGACTCTCATAGCATAATGTTGAGTGAGAGAAACCAGATACAAGGGAACGCACACTGATTTGGCAAAGAAATGAAGGGGTCGGAGAGAGGCCTCTGGAGGGTTAGCACTGTTCATTCTTAACTTGGGTGATGCTATCAATGCTTTCTTTCACTTTGGGATAACTCATTGAGCTATAACATCTTATCTTTGTGCATTTTTCTCTCTGTGTATTATACTTCACAATTACAAAATCTTTTAAAATGCATGAACCACTTCTCAAGAAAATGGAAAAAAGTTGAGAAACATATGATGAGATAGCATTCCATAGGATTTTAAATATTAGATATTATTTGGACTTAAGCAGACAACATAATATAAAAATTGCTAGTGGCCTCAAATATCCACAGGGGATGGCAGAGTAGACTAAAAGGATTGAAGAAATCTCAGTACCGGATGCTTATTATCTCTCAAAATTTCTCAAATTTGTCCTGACTCCCAATTCTTTTCAGAGAACTGTACCTTGCCAACTCTTTCCCTCTAACTGCCACCTGCCCCCTAACTTTCAGGTTTACTTTTGGAGCAGTCACCTTAGCACATTCTGAACCTGTCCTTGCAATACTTGAGTGCCCAGAAATGAGTATCTGTTACCATTCACAATGGAGTTTACGATATGGAAATCACACAATGCTGCATTTTCTTAAATTAATAAATACAGTATATACATCTCAATATGTGTGCTATTTCACAGTTCACCCCTCAAAAGTATTTGCTTTATTTTCTTAAGTGCAAAAAGCATATAAGGAAGCCATTAAAAACACAGACTTTGGAATTAGATTAACCAGGATTCAGTTCCAGTTCTGTTACTTATTAAGTGAATGACCTGTCCAAGCATGTTTCCTCATTTTGTAACTCGGGGTAACATGTAATTCACAGAACTGTTTTAAGGATCTGAGAAAGCAGTAAATGTGAAATACCTGGCTCAAAGTAGGAAATCAATAACTTCAGATGATGATGATGATGATGGAGGAGGAAGAAAAGAGGATAATTTTGCATTATTAGTATTATTCCTGGAAACCATTTAGAGTTAAACTGGAATAGGAAAAGTTTGTATTTTTTGTTTGTGGTATTAGTGTTGGGATTGAGGGTGGGAGATATTGAAGTATGGCCTTTCTGATCAGAGAGCCCTAAAATCTATATATTGGGCTCCAAAAATTAAGATCTCAGCATGGTAAATCATGCTGAAGGATTATAATCTTTATGAGTAGAAGACAATATCCATTTAAATGTGCTGAGTCATTTCAAGAATCCCCTGAAGGGTATACCAGGATTTATACTAGGAAGTTCACAGGGTGGGTAAGAATTTAAAGGGACAAAGGAAAGTCCCTGAGGTGAGTTCTGGGTCACAGGTAAAGACAAAAGAAAAGTCACAACTGCATTCTTTAATTGAATGCATGGAAAACACCAACTGAACACCTAGCAGTTGCTCAAGTCACACTCAGCTTACGAAAACCACAGGCATGCTGAGTGCAGAGTGGTGAGTTTAACAAGAATGAGACCCGTGAAATTCTGACTGTCTGCCAAGTGAAAGGGGAACCTGAGGACCAAGGGACAGAGGGAAGGAGGAACAAACAGAAGACTACTGGCTCATTGGCCTGCGGGTTGAAAGGTCCCAGGTTCGATTCTGGACAAGGGCATGTACCTTGGTTGAGGGCACATCCCCAGTAGGAGGTATGCTAGAGGCAGCTGATTGATGTTTCTCTATCATCGATGTTTCTAACTCTCTATCCCTCTCCCTTCCTCTCTGTAGAAAATCAATAAAATATATTAAAATCAGTTATCTAAAAAAAAAAGACTACTGGCTCAGAAGCAAGGGGTAGCCCACTTATGGGGAAAGAACTCCAAGTCCCAGGTACCCTACCCACTTCCACTTCCTAGTGGGAGGGAACAATGAACTGTTACTACTCAAGTTAAGAAGGGTCAGGGAGAAGGGATGAAGGGCCATGCATATGTCTGCTTTAACCCCTTTAGGGCCACGAACTATTCATGTTTGAACAGAAATGCATACAGGTCCTAAAGCTTAGATACCAAATAATAATTGGCCCAAAATATATTTGTGGCAAATATGAATCATATTTAATCCACTAGACTTAAAATGATAATGATGGAGCTAAACTAATGTAATTCACAGTTAGTAAGAACAGCAACTCAAGAGAATGCTGAAACGTGAAAATTGAACTGGAACAACCTGAATTCCCGGGTTTTTGTCTCGATGGTTTCGAAGAATGAAGCCACGGACGAAAGGTGATAGCTGAAAAGCACAGAAACTTATTGCAAGCAGACACTACCTCTAAACCTAAGACTCAGTCCCTCCTGGCCAGACAGAGGGGCTCCTGAGAAGGGTGAGAGCTGCTTTCTTTGTCTTGAGCCATTAAATAGGCTGCAGTTCTTTGTCTGAACCTGACCTCTTCTTATTGGTCATTCTGCTACATAGAATTAGTTTTAAAGCTCAAAGCTCACATGGTGTCCACACCTTCTCTCCCCCTTATCTTGTTGGGAGTCATTTTTGATTTATCTTATAGCTCTCCCAGTCGTGTTGGCAGAGAAAACCTTATCTTATGGCCCTCCCAGTTACTCAGGTCAGGGCTACTTTTGGCCTAATGTATGGTCTCAGGCCCAAGATACCCTTGGTTTATGACTGTCTTAATAGCACGGGCCAGGTCTATTTCTATTTGCCTATGCCATTTCTCTATCCTCCGCGCAAGTCAGATAAACACCCTGGCATCTTCCAGTCTCTGTTATGTATTCCTCTTCCATAGACCCCTTTCATTCCTGAAATGTTCTAAACCTGCCTAATTAAACTACCTAGCTAACCCTGTCAATGCTGATGATGTACTAATAACCACTAGAGTCTTTCCTAAGAAGTTCAATCCTTCCTAAAGTCTTAGTGAACCATTAAGAGTCCAGCCAGGAAAACAGACCAATTTACTTTAACAAAAGAATTTGCCATGAGGAATTGGTTAAACAGGTGTTGGAGAACTAAAAAAAAAAAAAAAAAGTAAAAAGGGGATTCTGAAACTGAGACACAGAGTAGCTACAGAAAGCAGTTCTAGGGCTGAAGGAACAAAGGGAAGACGAGGGGGTTACATCCTGGAAGAGGAGGTCAGGAAACTGGAACTCAGACTTCTGGGAATGGGGCCCCGCCAGCCATCGCTGGTATCTCTGAGGCAGTGCAACAAGGCTGATGTTGGCCATACAGGAAGAAACGGGAAACTGGCAGCTGCTCCCGCCAGGATACAGACCCTGTGGGATATTGCTGACAAGAACAGCAAATAGGAAGCTGTAAGTCTCTGAGCTCCTCCTCTCCCTTTCAGCGCCCCCTATTGGCGGAACCTAAAGGACCCACTGACAAGAAATGTAGTTTGCAGTCTTAGGTTCTGCATCACAAAGCCAAGTCCTGGCCAAAGGGACAACCTGACCTGGATTCATCCTGTTTCCAATTCTTTCTGGGAAGGGGGCGGTAGCATATTTAGGGGACTCTGAAAATCTCGACCAACCTCTCACTCCCTCCCATCAAAAAAATAACATCTTTTTTCAATTACTGAAGATTCTTTTTTTCTAAGATAAAAGTAGTTGATCGAATTTTAGGCTCATTTCTCTTTATTTGAACATCTGAAAACAGGTATTTGTGAGGGAAGGAGATGTAACACATCTGAAGTAAATCGTTTTTTCTACTTTCAGGCTGTGCCCAATCTTTACAACTCCTTTCAAAGACTGGAGCCGAGCCTGCTCTCAGGTTTTCCTCATGCTATTTCAACACGTTCCTTAATTGCAACCCCTGCCCTTGCCCTCCTATTATAAAGACCATGGGACCTAGAATCAGGCCTGTTTGGAAGTCCCCACGCCACTGCTCACGAGCTTGGGAGACTTCACCCGGGCTGACACCTCACTGTCTGAGCCTCCCTCTCCTCATCTGTAAAATGGGACAATACCTAATTGCAGTGGCGAGGATTAAATGAAATAAAATACAATGCATGGCGGAGTGCCTGGCAGTATAAATAATCCATTTCACTCTTGTTCCAGCACCCATCTTTGACATTTCAAAAGTTTTAGGGAGGTGACCATGAGGATCCCAGAATCACTTTTCACGGTGCGGGCCTCCAGTTTGCTGGAGTGAGGTGTTACCTGGCCTCCCTGGCTGGGAAGATAAACTCTCACACGCTCAGAACTTTAACAGTGAGTGGCTGCGGACCAGGAACCGCCTGGACCCGCCCCTCTCCCTGGCATCCCGCTCGGGGCTGCGGCGGGACGCGGGTGGGGCGCGGACCTGGCACCGCCTCCCTGGGCGCTGGGCCGCCAGGAGCGCGGGGCGCAGAGGGGAAGCCGCGCCGCCGCCAGCTGCGGCCCGAGGGGACGTACGACGCTGCTGGCCGCCCGCAGAGATGTGACCCGGCCACGCCGCCTCTGTGGGGCTCCCGAACCCCAGCGAACCTGGCGGCCAGAAGGGCCCCGGCGCCCGGCCGCGCGGCCCAGGCGCTGCTGCTGCTGCTCGCGGCCGCGCCGTGGGGACGCGCAGGTAGGTGCATGGGCCCCCGGGCGCCGCCTGACGCCGGACCCGGTCGTGGCCCAGTCGTGTCCGTCCCGCCCGCGGGGTTTTGCTGTCCCGCCCGCGGGTTTTGCTGTCCCGCCCGCGGGTTTTACTGTCCCGCCCGCGGGTTTTGCTTTTCCGCGAGCCGAGCGGGAGGCGCGGCGTCTGCGCGGGGAGCCCCAGGGAGAAACTCACCGCCGTCACTCCCGGGCTTGGCTCTGGGTCAAGTTTGCACGACGCCGCGTTTCACACTTTCTCTGGCGGGGGTTGCCGTCGGGTGGAGGAAGCTGGTGCGGTTACCACAGCTCATAACTTGCAATCGGGGACGGTGACCGCGCAACGCTCGCGCCCGCGGCCCGCGGCCCGTGCCGGGGGGGACTGCGAGCTTTGCCCCCCGGAACCTGCGGGGAACCTTGTGCGGCTTTAAACCAGGGAACTCCCCCGGGAGCTAGAAGGGGGTCTTGCCGCTTTTATGGTCACCCCCAATAAAATACAAATGAAAAAGGACCAATAAAAAATGGAAAAACCCTCCCCGAAAAGGGGTCTTGATCCGAAGGAACGGGGGTCTAGGAAAAAAAAGCAATGGTTTTTTAAAGGTAAACCTCCCCTCTCCTGGGCACGTCATTTTTTCCTTTTCCGGTATGACCATGAAAGGAGGTATGCTGTGATTTTCATTTTCTGGAAAGGGCTTACCTTGTGTTTTCGGTTTTGTTTTTAAGTTGAAACTCTACCAGCTGGACTCCAGTAACCAGATGATTCACTAACATTTCTTTTTTTCTTCTGTATTTCTGGTAGAGAGAAAAAAATTATTTTTCTGGGAGTCCCTTTTTATTAACATAGAATGTTACATTCGTTTTAGATGTACAACATGATGATTCCACATTTGTATACGTTGCTAAATAATCACCACGTAAGTCTATTACCGTCTATCACCACACAGCGTTATTGCAGTGTTATTGATGATAGTCCCATGATGGACATTTCATCCCCATGACTTGTTTTATAACTAGAAGTTCGTACCTCCATCCTCTTCATCCATTTCGCCCCCCTGCCCCCCCCCGCCCCCGCTCCCAACCCTTCTCCCTTTGGCAACCACCAGTCTGTTCTCTGTATCTATGAGTTCGGTTTTGTTTTGTTTGTTCATTTGTTTTGCTTTTAAAAATTCCATATGTAAGTGAAATCATACGATATTTGTATTTCACTTAGCATAATATCCTCAAGGTCCATTTAGATTGTCACAAATAGCAAGATTTCGTTCTTTTTTATGACCGAGTAGTATTCCATTACACACACCCTGCATCTTCTTTATCCATCAATGGACACAGGTTGTTACCATATCTTGGCTATTGTCAATAATTCTGCTATGAACATAGGGGCACTTATATCTTTTCGAATAAATACCCAGAAGTGGAGTTGCTAGATTATATGGTAGCTCTATTTTTTATTTTTTGAAGAATTTTTGTGCTGTTTTCCATAGTGGCTGCACCAATTTACATTCCCACCAACAGTGCATGAGGACTCCATTTTCTCCACATCCTCATTAACAATTGTTATTTCTTGTCTTTTTTATAATGACCATTCTGACAGATATGAGGTGTTATCGCATTGTGGTTTTGATTTACATTTCCATGATGATTAGTGAGGTTGAGCATCTTTTCATGTGCCTGTTGGCCAATTGTATGTCTTCTTTGGAAAAATGTCTGTTCAGATCCTCTGCCCATTTTTTTAATCAGATTGCTTGTTTTGTTTTGTTTTTTTCCCTTTATTGAATAAGATATTACAAGTGTGTCCTTATCCCCACAATGTCCCCAACATCCTCCCAATCCTGCCCTCACCCTCACCCCCTGTTGTCC